ATTGACAAACATACTGTATCAGTAGGGGTGAATTAAAACACTGCAAATGTTGCTTACTTCTGTTTGTTTTGCCATGGTTCTCTACGGCGTAATGGATATTTTTAAAATGAAAACAGGGAGAACCTTACTTATTGGATTTGAAAAGTCCAATATTATAGGGCGCAGGCTTTGAACATGACCTTGCATGTGATATCCATTTGTAATGGTGTAAGAGTTAAGAGTTGTGGCCAGCGTTAGGTGTAACGCATTAAAAGTAATACGAGTTACGTAATATTTATTTTCTAAGTAACAAGTAAAGTAAGTAATAATATTTGAGTTACTTTTAGTTTAGTTAATTTACTTTTAAAAAATTAATTGGTAAATTAAAATGATCATAGTCATGTTGAATCCCGCATGCAATGAGAGAATGCAGAAGACAGAAAGGAAGATGGCGGAGCCTTGCAATTCTGCGATGGAAATATTCTCTTCATTTTGAACACATGTAAGAGAAGGAAAAGAGGATTTTCAGAATGGACAGTGATTTTACTTTTCAATCAGACACAAAAAGTACAAGTAGCAAACGCATTGTTTTAACTGTCATTAATTGGTAAATATATGACATGTACGGTTGAACAATTATTAGCCCCCCTTTGAATTTTTTTCTTTTTAAAATATTTTACAAATGATGTTTACCAGACCAAGGAATTTTTCACAGTATGTTTGATAATATTTTTTCCTCTTGTGAAAGTCATATTTGTTTTATTTTGGCTAGAATAAAATCAGTTTTTACATTTTTGTAAAAACCATTTTAGGGTCAAAATTGTTTGCCCCTTTAAGTTATATTTTTTGGAATGTCTACAAAACAAACCATCATTATACAATAACTTGCCTAATTACCATTTACTGCCTAGCTAACCTAATTAACATAGTTAAGCTTTTTAATGTCACTTTAAGCTGTATAGAAGTGTCTTGAAAAAATATCTGTCATCAAGGTAAAGATAAAATAAATTAGTTATTAGAAATGTGTTCAAAAAGCTTCTCTTCGTTAACCAGAAACTGGACTAGCTCTGGGGTCAGGAATTTCTCAGAAGATAACATTATCCTACATAAATATTTGTGTGTGTGTGTTTTTTTATTAGGCAAATGAAGGTTATGCAGTGTTTTGTTAATTGCAGAACACCTCTATTTAAAAAAGAGAAGGAAAAAAACCCTGCCAGTTCTGAAACAGATTAAGCCTCAGCCAAATCAGAAAAAGTAATGTAAAAGTAACTCAAAAGTAACATGACACATTACTAACCATAAAAAGTAATGCAACTAGTTACTTTTTGGGGGAGTAACTCAATATTGTAATGCAGTACTTTCTAAAGTAACTTTCTCTAACACTTCCATCTTCTGTTTATGCTCTTCGACATGAACTAAGTGCAGACATTTTAGCTGCACACTGACATGGATTTAATACAACACACAATTGCGCAGAGCGCGTAAAGTAATGCTCAGTTCAGACAGAGAGAAAGAGAGACCTGATAACAAATGTATTCCGACTTTGCTCACCTTTGATGTCAGTCCCACAAATCCAAGGTGCTTTGAGCATGTCTGTCCTTGAAGTCGAAGCGGAGAAGAGTCCCTTGTGGGAAAGATATTGTAATCCTTAGCAGAGTAAGAATAAGTGTGTTAAAGAATTGTTTTGCGGAAAGAGTTTGAGAAATTACCCCTGAGTCTCTCCAGTGCAGCTGGAAGATCATAGGGAAATACAGAGAAAATGATAGCAAAATGAAAAAATATTACCTCATATTTTTGTGCTTTTAAATGGGATCGTCGGGGTCATTCTGCTTTTAAGTCACTGATGTTTACGTTTAGATGATTTCGCCTCAGAAATCTCGTTTTGAAGCCTGCTAAGCTGAGATTCATTTCTCAGTGCACCTTTATTGTCTATTTTTGGCCTTTTACCTTTTCATAAGCAGTCGCTGAGGCTTATAGAAGGAAATATAAAGAAACTCTAAACTGAATTTAGGTTTGGGAATAAATAATAAGTGGCACTGCACAATAACCCTAAAGAATTTTTAGTTGTTTTTTTTAAATATACAGCTGAAGGCAAAATTACTAGCCCTTGTGATTTTTTTTTCACAATATCTCCTGTTATATTTTTGCTATTATTTTGTGTAGATATATTTTGGCTAGAAAAAGCAGATTTAAACTATTAAGAATATTTTGAGTCAATATTATTAGCCACATTAAACATTTTTGTTTTTTCAGATTAGCTACAGACTGTTGTCCAGTGACTTGCCTAAATAACCAAACTTGCCAAATTAACCAAAATAACTTATCACAGATAAATCAGACACAAAGAGGGAGGGTGGGTGCTCGAGGATCTACCTGAGCTCAAACTCCTCACTCGCCCTGCAAATGGGAGTGAGCCCCGGGCCCGAGATTCTTACGAGCTCAGGGCCCTCTCCCGGGACAGCATGCCAAACTAGCTTTATTTCCAATCATCAGTGATGTAAACAAGTGTACAAGTGTAAACTCTTGAATTGCCCTTTTTCTTTTTACATGGCGAACTTTGTAAGTGGAAAAACACTTCACCAGTAAGAAAACAGTTAAACAGACCATCTGCACCACGAGGATAAAGAATCACCTCCTCCATTCTGCCTCTTTACTTTCACTTTCTCTTTCTCTTCACTTTTACTCTACTCCTTCACTTTCGTGGAGCTAAGCACAGAGATTTGTTTCAAAACTATTTCTAAATTCAGTTCTAATTTCCAGCAAATGAACAAATGAACAATAATAACGAAGTGTGGTCAAAAAACTGAGTTATATCCACATACAAGTCCTATGTAGGCGCCAATAGCCTAGTGGTACTGTATGCCAGGGGTTCTCAAACTTTTCAACCCGAGACCCCCAAAATAACAATGCCAATGACTGGCGACCCCCACTATTTTCGAAAGTGGTTATAATCATACAAATGTTGTACGCAACTGCTCACACAAACCAATAGGCCTATAAACACAAGCATATTGACAACACAAAAAGTGCAACAGTCTAAGAACTATATATATATTTTTAACTTTATTTAATATTAACCTTACCTAATAAGACTGGTGGGCACAATATTTAAGTTACATCACAAGTCTTTTCTTGGTTTAATTTTGTAGACTAATTCAGTCATGTCTGTATTTATTTTAAATGTACATAAGTTGCATAAAGGTGTCAGAAAGTTTATCTAGTGCCGTAAAATCAATCTGCTGCAAGTGACGCTATTGCTCTGTCGTTAATCTAATGTAAAAATCCCAGGGGTTGCGACCCAATGGGGAAAAAATGAAAGGCTGATGGCTTTTTGTTTGGATGTTGCCTTTTTATGTAACTATTATTAGCCCCTTTCACACAGTGATACCGGAAAATATCCGGAAAATTTACGGAACGACTTTACCGGTATGTTCAAAAAAGCGCTGTTCACACAGGCGAGGACGTTACGGAAATTTTCCGGAAAAGAGCATTCACACATCCATTCCAAAATACCGGTAAATTCTGACATCATTCACCACAAATGAGCTTTAAACGGCTGCGCTTGTAACGGCTGCGCTTGTATATGATGATCAATATTGTAAACAACTTTCACAGGATCATATTCGCATTTCGAGATGTTCATAATATGTGCGTGTGCTGCCGCTCACAGGCTGTTTCATGGGCACACGCAAAGCTTGAAGGTAAACAAACAACGGCTTATCATAAGCATCTTATTGATGATTATTTGCACAGTTGGCATTAAGGAGAACATATAAACGTTATCTGACTAACTTCTAGCAGCTAAATGCGTCTGGAAAAATATTCAAAGGCTTTTATTCTCACAAACCGCGCGGACGTAAATGCGTCTGACTGTTGTGATTGGCTAAAGCAGAAGTCTTACGTCAGCACGTTCTAGACGTGCACGCGCTTATTCCGGAAATATTCCTTCTGCGTTCACACAGCGCAGCATTCCGGCAAATTGCCGGTAATGTTACAACTTCTCTTTCCGGAAAATAGCCAGAACGAATTTACCGGTATTTTCAAAAAGGACCTGTTCACACATACAACCTTTCCGGAAAATTGCCGGTAATTTTCCGGAAAGGTCTGTATGTGTGAAAGGGGCTATAATCTTCTGTAAGTTATAGATAAACAATGGTAATTTAAAACGTTTATTCAAATTTATTAGATTTTTGGAAATAACCAAGTGACCCCCTCTCATTGTCCCGCGACCCCCACTTTGAGAACCACTGCTGTATGCCAATATATAGCACTGACGTGCTCATGGCGACCCGAGATCGATTCCCGGTTCGAGGTCCTTTCCTGGTCTTTCCACTCTGTCTGTTTCCAATGCTTTCCTGTCTGACATCTTTACTTTCCTATCATAATAAAGTTCAAAACCCCTAAAAAATAATTATTAATTTTTTTTTTTAAATACACGTCATATGCCCCATATGATAATTTTTTATGTGATATAAAGTGGGTCTCAGACCAGGCAAGAAGCACTTTGTTAAATTCCATTGTTCCATTGTCTTTAATTATGGAAATGTATTTTATTTTCAGCGCTCGTCTGCTGTTTCTGATGCAGCTTGCGTTTAAACGGCCTGTCATCTCATTTTACGTGTGAACATCTAAATAAATGCTTAATTCTATTTAACCGATTGTACTGGAATTATTCACCGGAAGGTGGCTGAAAAACACTTGCCATGCACATTAGCCCATTCCTGTCTGGATTGAGGCTCAACATTATGCAGATGTTAATTTGTGGAACGCCTTTGAGTAAATACAATGCTGTGGCATTACTCCATAATGAGGAGAAATGAAACTATTTATAACTCTGAAGTAAACAATCCAGAGCCACACATCCCAGCTCTTCGCATTCTCAGCTTGAACCCTATGGGGGGGAAGAGTGTGGCTGTATCGACTCACAGTTGTAATATGTAAATAAGCCTGCTAATGATGCGGCGTGGATTGGCCCCATCGCATGCGTTTGATGCATATTTGTTGTCGTTTCTCTCTTGCAGAGGTTCTTGGGAGGAGAGCTCCAGTTCCAGCGAGCCCTCTCTAACAGCCTTAACCCACGTCCACACGCGCACACTGACTGCCCGACTGCCAACATCAAAGGTACCCGCCCAAGCGTCTGTCTGTTTTCACTTCTCTCATTCATTACTGCACACATCATTTCGCCTGTTGCACCACTTGTTCTGTTTCTTTATCATACTATGAAACATGCTGCGAGGTTATGATGGTTTTCTTTGACCATTTTGATTGCAGATCAGTCATCATAATGTGGTTAAAAAGACAATGGATAATAATAAGGAATATGAATATATGAATGTTCTGTTTAAAATGCTTGACTCTGTGCAAACAAGAGGCAAAAATGACAGATAACAACCATCTCTATTAGATACAGCCTGCTAATAGTGCTCAGTTGTTAATAACAGTTCAAATGTGTGTGCTTGTGATATAGACTTTTCCATTAAGGGGCAATCTTTCCAGGGCCATTTTTTACACAACAATTTTTTAACCTTTACCTTGTTAGAGGTGCCATAGAATGCATTGATAGGAATACACGTGCAAAATAAGCTCAATTCAGTTTTTAAAAAAACATATGAACAAACTGAGTAGATAGTAGGGTTGTCGTGATAACATTAATTCATGTTACAATACTATACCAGCTGAAGTATTGTGATACCAAGTAATATTGCAATATTGTAATTCATAACATAAATCCATGAAATAAAAAAAAAGTGTTACAACCTTATTTAAGTCTAGGAGTATTTGTCTAAAAGGTGTAACAAAGAAGACTAAATTTTGGTAAATATTATTGACTTAGAACTAATAAAAAGATAAACGTGGAGAACACACTTCAATCCTCGGCCCCAGAGTGAAGAGTCAGCACAACGTTTAGAAAAAATAATCGTAAGAATTTATTTAATTTAAATATTTAAGGTTATAATAGGCTTACTAGAATTGAATTCATAATACCTTAATTATTAAAAAAATAATTCGCACATCACTTCACCTGAACTATTTTGTAGATAACTGACCAACAAAATAAAGAAACAAATTATACCGAAAGAAATTTTTTTTTACCAATTTTTTTTATTTTTTAGTCTTATCAGGTATTCCAAATTTCACTTTAAGTCGTTCTTTTTAAGAGATTGTTGCGGCTGTTGTAGCTACTAAATCATATTGACAGGAACAGAAATGAACTGATTCAGATGTGCATTCAAACTGAAACATTGAAAAAACGTGCAGTCGACTACCATTAAAGGCGTGAATTCTACACAGTTTTGCAACCTTAAAGGGCTCCACAGACTATTCAAATAAAATGGTGAATTGTTACAAAACTGTGTTCATGCCTTTTATTGTAGCATATTGCACATTTTCTGATGTTTCTGTGTTAGCTAAAAAAGGAACTTAAAAGTATTAACTTGTATTAGCAAACAAAAATGTTGTTCTTTGCTGTTACTTGCTACTAGATTGAGTGTCACGGGCAATACTTTTAGTTGAATTTTTAGCAAGACACTCCTCATACCTGTGGGTTTTTTTGTTGCTAGTTGTGACAACAATCATGTGACAGCTCTTATAAATAACCTCGTTTTGTTTGATGTCTGTGAATAAACCAAGATATTCCCATATTACTGACTTTCTGTTTTTCTTTGATATTAATTAGTCTATTAATGCTTCTGAAATGGCAGATGCCATCATCCCGCTTGTTCATGCTTTCCTGTTTGTTTGTTTTTTTATTGTGGGCGTTCCGCATAGTTTTCTTGCGGAATTCTGATTGGGCAGAATGAAAGCGTGCCCACTCAATTGGCTAGTAAGACGGAAGTTAAATTATATGTATTTCATACCGCAGCCTCTTGCGATTAGCTAATAGCAACGTTTCAAATCGCAATTGCGATTCAATTTCGATTAATCGCACAGCTCTAGTGAATACCTTTATTAATTGATTGTTACAATTTATATTTGTTACTACATGTTTTTTTTTAAATTATTATCTATGATTGACCAATAGTGTTGTATGGCACAAAACAAAGACTGTTCAGAAATTTGTTGCTCTTTTTTGCGCTATCATCGTTTAATGACATTGTGTTCCGGGAAAACTGAAATCGTGTGGTGGACGTCGATCCCGGTAACTTTTATTTCCTGATTTTGTACTGCAAATTTTTCGTTTAAAAATTAAGTATTGCCTAAAACTATTGCCTAACCCATTCTTGTCTTGGCTCTTCTTGAAAAAAATCCTTATTTATTAACTATTTATAACCATTTATTCTTTTTTTACTAAAACAATTTTTTATGGGTTGTTCTAAAATATTTTCTCTAGATAACCTAAAAAAACCTCTCATTTTCATTATTAATTTTGTTCATTTAAATGAATAGTTATGATTGTAATATAGGCATGGGAGGATAACCGTTTTTAAGGTATACCGCGGTTTGGAAAAGTCAAGGTTTTAAAACTGCCAAAATTTTCTGCAATACCGTTTCTAAGGTATGGAAAAAAAAATTTATTTCCTTTTTTGTTTGTTTGTTTGTTGCTTTAGGACAATAGTATCTCCAGCAGAAAAAATATCCAAAGATGTCATTTAACATAGTAAAGAAATCTGTTTTTGAAACTAATGAAGACAGCAGAAGTCAATGATTCATTTTTTTTTAATTTAGCTTGACATGTTTACTGCTCCAAAATATTTAAAATATCTCAAAAAATGAAATAGATTTTGTTCAAAGGGGAAAAAAGTTTTTGTTTTTTACCCAGGCATTTAAAAAGAATATATTTTAGAGCAGTAATCACAATACCGTGATAATGTAAAACCATGATGTTTTTATCCAAGGTTATCATACAGTCATAATCTTAAACCGGCCCATGCCTATTGTAACATTAATTCAGATTTTTGAGCAAGTAAACACAGTGTGATGCATCTGTTTTTACTTGCCTCCCTGTTCTTGTAGTACAATCATCCTGTGAAGATGTATAATACTGTGTAAAATGGGCATACTCTCTATGTAAATAAATACAATGAGGATCCATCCTCTTTGAGAGGCGTCACAGCATGGCATGCCTTTGATTTGTTGTACTGTACTCATAACACACTGAGTTATTTAAGGATTGAAGGATATTCTTCTAACTCTTTCTTGCTGCCGGTTCATTCCAAGAGGCTCCTTGCATCCAGAGTCACTTCAAAGAATAAAGAGAGGGGTAAACAATAGCTCTTTCCTCCTCCAAAAAACAATCTTATCTCTTCAGTGTTTTATACTGGAAGCTGCTTTGAATCCCAAATTTAAGGCAGTATTGACTATGACAATGTAGTTTTTCCTCAGTGAAATAATAAAGCAGCTATGAAGCTAGACATTCTAAAGCTAAGGTGTAATAAAATCATTTTAGATGCCTACTCTGTCCAAAGGAGTTGTTGTTTATACATTTTTCAGGACAGTGTAGAATCTTCGGCTTTTTCTTTGGTTGGCCATGATGCATTTTAGTTTTAGCTTTATTTGTAGCTAGCGCTGACTACCCTGTGTGCACATGGATAACCCAATCTTTATGTATAGGTGTGTAGAACGAATACATTTCCATGATTTACTGTATACATTTGCCTTCTTTTGCCATGGTTCTGTATATTCAGAAGCTGTGGTTTGTAAGCCCTGCTGTTTGTAAATACTCTTGTAAAATACTCCATTTCATCTATGGCAGGGAAGTAGGCGTATTGAAACTCTTCAAAGGTCTGTCTAATCTCAATTAATTGGATAGTTCACACAAAAATTAATCCTATCATCAATTACACTCCCTTTACATTTCAAACTGATAACATCTTCAAAATTAAGATAAAAACCTGATAAATGTATGTCTCTTTATTCAAAGTACTTTCCTCTTATATCAATCTAAAGAATGTTTTAGCGTTATATTTACCACCTTTTTTTGTGCAATAAAAATGTCATATGAATGTTGAAGTTTTTTTTTATTATAGAATCATCAATGACAATAAAGAATCCTTATTGTGAACAATGTAGTGAGCTAGTGTAGTTAGATTTGTTTGTGCTTTTAATTTGTATTTAGACAGCCTGTGTTATCCCCACAGTGAAAATGAGGGTAATTTAAAGCAGGGGTTCTCAACCTTTTTCATTGTGCGGCCTAATTCTTTCTCCGATAAATTTTTAATTGCACACTTCTCTGACATTTTCACCAAAAAGTTTGTATAAAATGCTCGTTTAAACCTTTATTAGCAATCTTATATTATATTATACATTTGTTGGACCTTTTATTATTTTCTATATTCAGCATTTTATTAAAAATTTATTATTTCATTTAATTATTTATAAAACTATATATATATATAGTTTAATGTTTCTTTTTTTCCCTAATAGAGAGTATTTTTTCAACACATTTCTAAACATAATAGTATTAATATCTCATCTTTAATAACTGATTTATTTTATCTTTGTCATGATGACAGTAAATAATATTTTACTAGATATTTTTCAAGACACTTCTATACAGCTTGAAGTGACATTTAAAGGCTAAACTAGGTTAATTAGGTTAACTAGGCAGGTTAGGGCAATTAGGCAAGTTATTGTATAATGATGGTTTGTTCTGTAGACTATCAAAAAAAATTGCTTAAAGGGTCTAATAATTTTTTCACTAAAATGGTTTTTAAAAAGTTTAAAACAGCTTTTATTGTAGCCAATATAAAACAAATGAGACTTTTTAAATATACACACAGGTCAACAGGGAGAACCACAGGTCAACAGGAAGATTGCAAAAGACCAGCTTCTGGACTGACTGAATATCTACTATTAAATATCTACTATTCAAAAATATACAGACAAATGTAAAATACAGTAAAATACCCTAAATCTGTTGAAACACATCGATGATGGCAGTTGAGTTTGCAGCTGGATATTATTGGCAGATCGTTGACAGGAACAGTGAACAGCTCCGCCAGAGCGTGTCTGAAGCAAGTTTATTTTACATTCTTCTGCAGAAACACCATTGAGCCTTGCTAGATCCTCCCGTGTGGGCGTGCGTCCATTATAAAACACTCACAGGACATTAATATGATATTTTAATGATATTATGTATGATTTATTATCATATTAAATGATATATTATATAGTTCACACAA